CCCCCCCAACCCACTGCACCTTCCCCGCCCTCAAGTCACTTCCCCTCTGGGTTTCACTTTCCTTGTTTGCAAAACAAGTGTCTGACCAGGGTGCCCCAAGGTCTGTTCCAGCCTTGAATCTGATTCCATGTCATGGGTAACCCCAAGGAGATCATTTAATCTTTCTGAGACTCTGGTGGGTTTTTTTGTTTGTTTCTTTTCGTTGTTTTGCAAAATTGGGGACAGCTGGACTAAATGATTTCTAGAGTCCTGGGAAGCTTTTCGTCAGAGATCCTCTGATCTGTGTATTGCATATGCAAGTGCTCACATACAGAGACTTCTCTAGGGTTGCAGGCCCCCTGCTAGCAGGTTCCCCTTGTACAGGCTCTCATTTCCCAGTTGAGTTCCACTGTATAAAGAGCTTCAAGTCCTTTTCAATTCCTGGGCTGTAGAGGTAGTACTCAGAAGGAGGAGGCAGACAGTAGAGGTTCTCTGTTGCCCCTTCCTGGGATCTCCCTTTGGGTGGGTCCTCCAGAGGGTTTCCCCCAGGGACCCACAGGTCCCCATTCCCAGCCTCTGTCTCCCTACAGTGGTAACCGGGGCCACAAGTGGAATTGGCAGGAGCTATGCTCATGAGGTAAAGGGAGGCCTGGGGCCAACTGAATCTGTCTTTAATGTACCTGGGCATGGCCCCACATGTCTGTTCCATTGCATTCCACATACATGGTCCCATGCATTCGGTGTTTTCTCCCATGCATGTTACTCTCTATGAGCCCTGATCATTTTCTAGAGCCTCAGGTCATGTGTTTGCAAGGGGATTCCTGTGTAAATATATATAAATGTAGTAATTAATGTCACATGTGTATGTATATACATACATACAGAAAGATGGATAGATGATAAAAAGACAAGTAGACAAGATATATACATAGACAGATGGATAAGTACATCCACATTTGTCCTGAGTGTTTCTGCCCATGGGTTCCTATGAATTCCCCATATCCCTCTTTGTCCTATGTACACCTGCTTATTTGGATGGACCCTCATGAGTCTTCTGTAGGTTTGGGAGGTCCTGTGTGCTCACTCCCTCAATCTCCCCATTCTCCTGTCTCCATACACCTGCCCTGAAGAGGCCTCAACATTGTACTGGTCAGCCGAGATCTAAACAAGTTACGTCGGGAGGCAGAGGACATTGGTGAGGGCCGAACTAGAAAGGAGGGGCGTGGGTGAGAAGTGAGGCTGCTCAAGGTTCCATGATGGGACATGGAATCAAAAGACCCAGGTTCAACACAGCTCTGCTACATACTAGCTATGTGTGAGCCCCAGCTAGTCAGTCCCATGTCTTCTCTGGGCCTTTCCTCATCTATATAATAAGGAGTAGCAGTAATCTTCCAATTCTGAATTTTCTGAGTTTTCCTACAGAGAGACTCCGTGGTAAGGAAACAAGAGTCATCCAAGTGGACTTCACTGGAGGCCTAGAGGTCTATGAGACAGGTGAGAGAGCCTTGGAGGGCCTAGAGATCGGCATTCTAGGTATGCACCCACTCCCACTTCCCTTCTCAGTCCTGCCCCCAGAATTCCTCTCCATCCCCTTGCTCTGTGGTCCTCACCTCTTTTTTTTTTGTAGTCAATGCTGTTGGCATAACTCCCACGCAAGTCCTGCAGAAGCTAATGGCTTTGAAGAACACAGGCAAGGTAGAGGAAGCTACACCTCGCCCCCCCAACTCATGCCTTTTCCCATTTCTCTGACTTTTTCCATCTCTTCTTCTCCCCTCCCTATTCCTGCCCTCTTTATCTGCCCCTTCCCTCATCACCCCATCTTCCCTCTTACCTCACAA